CAGGGAAACCAGGAAAACCACCGGGAAACCACCGTGAAAGCCACCAGGAAAACCACCGGAAAACAGCGGGGAAAAGCGCCAGGAAAACCACAGGGAAACAGTGGGAAAAGTGCCAGGAAACCGTCGTGAAAACCACTGGGACAAGCGCCGGGAAACCGCCAGGAAAAGCGCCGGGAAAACCCGCCGGGAAACAACGGGAAACAGCAGGGAAAAGCGCCGGGAAACAACGGGAAACAGAGGGGAAAAGCGCCCGGAAAACCACAGAGAAACAGTGGGAAAAGTGCCAGGAAACCGCCGGGAAAAACCGCCGGGAAAAAAACGGGAAAGGGTTTCCGAAACCGCCGCCCCCGACTCCCCGCGGCTCCGCTCCCGATGCCGGCCTTACCCAGCTCCTCCAGCTCGGCCGTCATGGATTTGGAGCGCAGCGTGAGGGTGGTGCTGGGAGCCCTCTTGGGAGGCGGCGGAGCTGCAAGGAAGAGAGAGGGCATCTTGCACCTCTTATCCCGGAATTTTCGGGGAGTGGCCAGGTGCAGGTGCCACTTCTTCTCCACAGCCTGGATCTCCTCGTATTCCCGGGACGAGGAGTCGCACTGCTGCAGGATCTTATTGAGGCTGCGCGTGGAAGCGAACTTCTTCATGATTCCCGCCGGGAATGTGCCCGCGGGGTTGGGAATGCGGCCCTCAGCGCGGGGCCAGCGGCATGGCCGGGGTGGCTCGCGGGGGCGCGGCCACGGCCCGACGGAGGGACGCGGGGACAGCGGGGATGCGTCCAGCCTGAGCTCGGGATCCTCTTCCCCGCAGCCCCCGGAGCGCTTCGGCCCCCCCACCCTTCCTCCTCCTCCTCCTCGTCCTCCTCCTCCTCGTTCTCTCCGTGGATCCCAACCCTACGGAAGCGTCCGGCCGCGAGCTGCCCGAGGACACATGGCCCGGGATGATCCCCAAAGCTCCCGATCCCGCATTCCCTGAGCCTCCCCCCCTTCCCCCGCCGCCCCGGGAGCAGCGAGGATGAGTGGAAGGCTCTTCCTCTYCCTCCTCCTCCTCCTCCTCGCTGCTCCTCGCTGACAATGCTGGAATAACGCTCCGGCATTGCCATGGCAACGGCAGCTCCAAGGATCTCTGTGCCTGCGGCAGGGATCCAGCGGGGCGGATTCAGCCCCAGCCGGGCCCACACAGGCGCTGTCACCGGGGGGGGGACGGGGGGGACGCGGGAGGAGCCCCCCCCGAGGGCACTCGGAGCCCTCCGATCCCGGGGAAAAGCGGATCCGCGGGGACCGGGATGCGGGAAGGGAGCGCCGCGGGGCAGCCGCTCACCCCCGGGCGRGATCGGCCCCCACCGGGCTCCCGGCGCTGATTCCCGGCTGCTTCCCGGCGGAATTCCCGGCTTCCCGAGGCTGCCGGCCGCTCCCGCGGCTCGTGCCTTTGTGCCGTGACGGAATAATTGGAGCTCCTCGTGCCAGC